TACGTGTAATGACAGGGCACGAGAGGCCACCCGTTTGACATGTTAGTTTTCCTCTTGTATATGTCAGAAAAACTGTTAGCCTGGGTCCACGTAGCAATGATTTCCACATCAAATTATTAGCACACAGAAATGTATGGATCACAGTAAGCCTAATCCTGCATCCTGTTTCTTGGAAGGAGTAAGTAAAAATGCTGAGGCAGCATCTAAGAAAGTTGGTGTTACTGTGAGTGACAGAAAAAAAGATACATGATTTAAAAATGGTTAGTTGTTCTGGGGTAGTCATGTTGTGTTATTTATCTAAGAGAAAGAGCATTAAATATGTTTAGCAGCACTCAGTCCCCTACATTCCACGACACAATGACACCCTTCTATTTGCAATGCTTCTTGTATCACACATGCTTCTTTCACGTTCACAGGCTGTCAGGACACAGCTATCAGCTATCTCAAATCTTGCAACATACTAAGTAATAATGGTCTCCAGTGGGAGAGATTTCCAGGCTTTAAAACATCATCTCATCTTGACCTCAGGAAATCCTACAAGTTCTGTTAATGACCATAACCAGTCGGCCAAGTAACTGAAGTTAGACATCCATTATAAACATACCCATGGGAACCTTTTTGATATTCATATTTATTTCAAAGAGATTAAATATTAGAGATGAAAAAATCCATAGAGTACCTTGTATTTCAAATGATAATATGAAAAGTTAATCTAAGTCAGTGTCTTGTTTTTCTTTTTTGCTACTTGTTCTTTTTTTCGGCAGATAATAAAAACAGCTTTTTAACAAGAATTAGTTTGTCCGTCAACATAATGCAATTATAAATAAATAATTCACGAATTACACATACAATAACATTAATTGCATTGTTCAGAAAATGCTATTCTGGAAATGTGTAAAAAAAACATCTCGACTTTATTTGCCATTACTCATCTTGTCACGTGTACTCTTGAGGTAATGGCTGCTGTAAATCCAGTCGTGGTGTTCGTCATTTCCTCTTAAAAACGATCATAAATGGCGAGTTATAAAACTGTGAATATTATATATATGGAGGAGGAAGCTGTGGCAAGGATGACTGGGGTGTGCGTGGGATGATTAAATCACAGTCACGGGCAGTCATTAATTGACTGAATTTACTGAGTGTGTCGCCATCTAGTGGTAAAATGTGGGTACTTTTGTTTGTGGAGAGGAGGAGAAGGAGGAGGTAACATTATTAAACCTACCATTCCATTTGCACCTGACACAGCTCCTGGAGGTGGACTGTGTGTTAGAACAGAGGACGTGTGGAGTGTTGTGTTCCTGGTGTGTTTGTGGGCCGCTGACGGAGGCTGATCAGGGAGAACACAGTGACAGGTGGAGGCCGCCGATGCTGCTGCTGCTGCTGCTGGGACTACAGTGACAGCTGCAACAGGTAGAGTCGCTTTAACATTCCTCAGCGTGGCGAACGACAAGACGCTGGTTCCTGGATGAAGTACGGAAGTCACACAGCCTTTAGTCAAGAGCCATCATGGATTTCAGGAATATAACCAGCGACTGAAAGCTTTGTTTTTCCTCCACTGTCTGTCTGAGAAGAGTATTCTGTAAATATACACAGCACCCACCATGCCTGGCCACAAGAGACAGGTAGGTGATCATACTATACTCGGATTCTACCCATGAAAACGATCAAAACCTGTCATTTGGTCATTTTCTATCATTAAAGCTTTTTATTTTTTTGTTATTACATGACTGACTGTTCTGCTATTCAGCACCAGACTCACATAAATCTTACATAATTCACGTGTTTTCATCTCCACGTGCGTGTAGGAGCCTCCAATGTATGTTACAGAACTGCCCCACACCTTGATTGCTGTGGTCACATGTAGAGAGTCAATGACATGTTCCATTGTTCAGACCAGGTCGAATGAAACCACCGTGAGTCAGGCTCATCACAGGTTTCTGTCACTGCACTGGCATTCACTGACACACTCCCAGTGGAGAGATGGACAGGATTCTTTGGAAGACTGTCACCTTTAACTGCCCCCTCCCCTCCCACTCCCCCATGACAATACACAAAACATCTGAAGAACTGTTTCAGTTAGCATTCCGTTCCTGCACCAACTGTGTTTTACGTAAGACAGCTACTTTGCAAAACAACAACACTGTTACATTGTTGTAGACATGCCAGGAAGCAACCAGGACCCTAAGACAGTACCAGGGGAGTCTCCTTAAGTCTACAGTATGTAGTTTCTTCACCAAAATCAATGGTTACACCACTCACTGGGTTGCAATAGAAAGAACAAGGGGCATGAATCTCAGGGCAGGAACACCAAACACAAAGCATGAGCACAGCACAAAACAGAGTGAGGGACAGAGGTGTATAGACCCAGGGCACCAGGTGACACCAGTGACGCTAATCTCAGAGACACAGGTGAGTCATCGCTAACAAACATAAGATAAACAAGACCATATAATCTGTTTTATACAACTGGCCTAGTTACTGAGTTATAGCACAAAACAGGGTCCTGCCTGGGCCCCATAAGATAGATCAGACGTCTGTATGAATAGAAAATATCATCAGTGGATGAAGTATAATCAACACATTTATAGAAATCCCTGTAGGGATGAATACAACTGGCAGAATGAAACTGACTTTAATCCTACGCAGAATGGGAAATGTAGCAAAATGCTACAGAACAGACAGTTAGCATCACAGGAGCTTATGGTTGTCCATCCATTTTTCAGTTTCTGTGTACAGTTCTAAATAAAAAGAGCTTTGAAAATGAAGGTGGAATGTTTAGAAATGCTGAGATAATAACATAAATACATTGCACTTGTTTGTGTGATACATTTTGTGTTGCTATAATTTACTCTATTAAAAAAAGCAATATTATTTATAATTGTCACAGTTTAAATAACACCTTATTTTTGTCTACTTTTAGCCCAGTATTGAACTCCTGGAGTTAATGGGTGTTGTGCGAGAAAATGGCACTGATCCCTCTTCACTGCCCCCAGTGGTAAGTTCCTTTATGTGTCTGTTGGTCACGTTTCTTTTTCAGAAACTGTGTTGTACACATGACACCTGTAGACAAATCTCTGTATTTCCCAGTTGCTCATTCAGTTTGCACCTGAGGTGTATTCTGTCCAAAAAACGTGCTGTATTTATTTACCAAAAATTAAATATAATTTTTTTTTCCTAAGCAAACTCCATTATCATACGATTATGTACTGGTGGCTAAAACAAGCGAAAACCAAGAGAGATCAGTTTACAAGAAGCAAATAGAATATATTGAAGAGCTGAAAAAGAAGAACATGAAGGTCACAGTAAGTCAGGAATATTAAATATACATTTTACGTTGATTTGGTTTTTTTTCTTTCAAGTCTGACTGTTTTTTTCATGTCAGAAAATAATAGATGACGAACTGGTCTTCTATGGGATTCAAGCACCAAAAGAAATATTTGAGAAGTACAGGTATCTGCTCAAAGTGTCGGATGCTTGTAACTGGAGCTCAGATCAGAACGTCGTGCCTCTCAGCACCAGGTAAACCGTGACGCCCTGGCTATTTTTGTCGCCTGAGACGATCATAGATGCGATTTGTAGAATTTATGTTTGTATGATGCTATCATTACAAACTCAATACTTGTTACGTAAATTAGACACTAGCCCTGTGTTCTGAACCTGAGATCAGGAGATTGTGCTTCTTCACGTCCGTGTCTTTACACTGACCTCCGTACCACGTTACGTTTTCAGGAATGTGACACTTCTGCTGTTCTATTTTCAGGATAAGGATCGTCCACTTTATTTTGAATCACACTCAAATCCATACAGGAGGTGAGAAAGGCCAAAGTTAATGCCTCCTTATTTACATACATCTGGCAGAATTAATGAGACACACTGGTCATTTTAGGAAGTATTTGATCATCAGTAGTCAATTAAAACTTTATATAAATACTATAAATAATCCTTAAAAAGGTTATTTAATTCTGTGATATTCTCTGATATTAACAGGACAGGCTCATATAACTGTAACTTTATAAATGATGTCTCTATTTAAATAGTAGAAAATAGTTGAGCATTTCTGTCGGAGCTGTTTGACTGTCAGACTGACAACTAAACCTAATTCTAATAAAATTATTTTAAATAATTAAAAAAACAAAAAACAAACTATACTTTACTTTTTCATGGAAGTTTACTTAAAAAAAAAAAAATTATCTCAACATTCTGCCAGGAAATGTGAACTGATTTTTATTCACTAATCAGATGCTTCATTGTTGCATTAAAAATTTGATTATTGAAAGACTATCTTATTTTTATAAAAATGAATGCATTTCATTATGTATTATTATTCACAGAGGGCCTGCGAGATCTAATGAAGATGAAGGTTTTCGAAGCGAGGTTTTGCTTACATGAGGTAAAACACACTAGAAAACCGCTGACACTGTCACCACCATATATTTGTCACCATATATATGGCACACGTGTTTGTTTGTTTATTTATCTACTTCTTCTGAACTAGATGCACAGAACTTTTAAAATGCAACTGAAAGTTGCACTGATATACTGTATATTTGTACTGGTACTCTGAGCTGTGAGTGTATTCAGGCTTGGCATTCAGCTCCCAGAACAGTCCACTGCTGCCAGGAACCAAGTATTTGTTCATAGATCTAACAAGACTCATTTTAAAGTGGTGAGTCATGCAGTGTTAGGAGGTAAAGGGCAGAGACTCTGTGAGCGTGGACCTTAAAGTACGCACATATATATAACCACGGTCTCTCTGCTTATTGACTAGGTTGTGTGAAGCTGTTGTAGCTCACCTTGCTTTTGTTTTTGTTTTTTTCTCCTCCTTTGTTTCACGCTGCTGCTCTCAGAAAAGGAAACAGAAAGAGTTGAAGGAGAGCTGGGCACGGTGGACAGCCTGTCTCCAAGGGCAACCCATTACTGCTGTCAGGTTTGAACCGCATCATAATAACAGCTGCAGATACGGCACCGATGCTCTATTGTTTTTCCTGTTGTCTCTGTGAGGAGTGGGTTCACGAGGCAGAACAAACGTGTCACCTCACTCACATAATCATAAGAGCTCTTTATACAGAAGTGCTTAATACCTGCATTAAGGCTTAGTAGTCTAGATGCATATACGTCAGTCACTCACAATGTTAAAGCTAGGTCTTAATACATGGATACATACAAGGAATCTCAGCTTTAATTTGGGAAAATCAACAAGTGGTCACATCTCTTCAATATTTACTGCATCCTTTGACTAAAAGCAATTTAATAGAGAGTGTGGGTCATTTTTATGTGCTCTGTGCTCTAGATAAATACCCCTGCACTACAGTTGAACTGACAAGATTACATTACAGTACAGTACATTCAATCCAATCCCAATTAACGATATTTTTATTCATGTTTGCTTGTGACATAAAAACTTTTATTTTATTATAACGTTTTGATGGAGGCCTCTGTATGTGCAGCTACTGTGTGACCAAAACATTAGTTTGTCTGTAATCAAGTGGACACATTCTGTCCACCACTCTGCTGCAGTGATGCTGCCTAGCTACAGCGCATGAAGGAAATATAGTTTACAAATCACTGCCTTTTCAGTTTGTGTCTACTATTGATAATTCAATCAATTTGCTTAACTGTGACTTCTTGTAATAACTCAGCCCCTCCTATGGGGGGCAGGTTGGTTTCCTCTTTGGGAACCACTTGATTGTAGTAAGGAACTTAACCTTACTATGTATATGTTTGACAGGAACTACTTTGGGGAGAAGGTGGCCTTGTACTACCTGTGGCTGGGCTGGTACACATACCTGCTCATCCCTCCTGCTCTCATCGGGATCATCGTCTTCCTGTATGGCCTGGCCTTCTTCAACAGCTCACCCCTCATGTAAGCGTCGGCTTCTCGCTGTGTCTGCGCTCCTGAATATCCATTCACCTAAGAGAAGAATGGTTACTGTGTTGCAGAAAGGAGGTGTGTGAGGCTGACACCGTCATGTGTCCACTTTGTGACAAGAGATGCAGAGTGTGGCAGCTGTCTGAGACCTGCACATACGCCAAGGTACACCAGAGCTGTTACTGCTGTTCTAGTCTGCTGGTGCTCACTGACGGTGATGTCTGTCCACAGGTCAGCCTGCTGTTCGATAACAACGGGACAGTGCTTTTCGCCATGTTCATGGCGGTGTGGGGTGAGTTGATTTCACAAACACATACACATGTGAAAACTCCTATAGACGTTTATAATATATTGAGTGAAAATCTTACTGCAGAATTATTGTCAAATACTGCTCCTTATTCCTTCCCAATAATGTTGGCTGCATCTAAAGGTCCCTCTAGTTGCCTTATTATATTTAATCCAAGTGGAAGGATATTTTATAATCATAGATTGCTGCCAAAAAAAAGTCACATCACTGAGAGATGAGGACAGTTCTTGTCCAGGCTGCTAACATCTACCAGATCTGACCATCTGGAGGAGAGGGGGCTGTCGAGCAGGCTTTTTTATTTATTATAATTTAACATGTTGAGTGACATTCAACATTCTTGAGTGAATGTGTTTGGTATAATTTTATCAACTGACGGTTTTCTCTTTTTTAAAATATTCATTCTGTGGAAAAAAAATTAGCAACAAGGACATGAGTGTTCAACTACACAAACATGAGACTAGCGTTTGTCAAGGAACTATGTACATGTAGAGACAAAAAGTCCATTCACACTAAGACTCAAAACCTGTGGTAAATTTCTTTACAACATTTTACCACTTTCCCACAAAATACTCACCTGAACAGAACAGCCGGAGGCGCTCTTTTGTCTCTTATACTGAATCTAGAATATTCTGTTTATCAGCGACCCTGTTTTTGGAGTTTTGGAAGAGACACCGAGCGTCCTTCGTGTGTGAGTGGAAAGTGTCCGACTGGTGTGAGGAAGAGGTGAAGCCACTTTTAAACTATTTCAACCCAACTCTGCAACATCGGATTGGCATTTACTGTAGAATTCATATCATGTGGTTTATTTCTTTTTTAAACCTCTGTGACAGGAGGAACTCATCCTGGAGATTGTGAATAATGAAAACTGTGAACCCAGAAAATATAAGCACTCCTATCTGCGCAGCACGCTGGTTTTGATCTGCGTCACAGTCATGGTGGGTGGTCGTGTCTGATGTTTTGACTAAAAGCCTAAACACATCGTGAGAACAACGTGGTGAAACGCGCTGTGTTCTTTCACAGATTCTGGTGATCATTGGCCTGACACACGCCTTGGTGGTGTTCAGAGTCATCGCTGCCGTGCTCTTGGCTGAGGGATCATGGGAGTTCCTGAGCAACCACTCGAACAGTGGAGCCATGATGCTGGGAGCCGTCCTTCATTATCTCATCATCACTGTCATGACACGGGTACGCCACTCTCCCAGTGTTCACGTGCATCGTCCCAGAGAGAGAGTGTCTTTGACGCCAACCTTGTCTTTTTCATTGCAGGTAAACCGGATTGTTGCCATGAAGCTGTGTGAAATAGGTTTGTTCACATGTTTTTATTTCATGTTTGAAAGCAGTGGAATCTAAAAGGGACCAGATCATAGCTCAGTGTAATACAGATCAAATATAAACATGTGATCAGCAACAGTCTTAGGTGTGAGACTATTAATGTGAACACACACCACACCAGGCTGTTGACATTGGACCAGGGCCACCTTATCTGTCTGACACAAACACACCCAGAACAGGTAAAGGACAGATGCTTCACAGAGGAAACCAGAACAAGAAAGATGAATTAAATTAATATTAACACATATTACACTACTTTGTAGGATATAGTAACCCTACAAATAATCGTGTAGTTATGACGTAAGATATACTCAGTTGAAGAAAAACTATTGGGGATATCTGACATAATAACAGAGGAAATGGTAATTGGTCGCACATCATCATTAAGTTATAAATACACGTCTACCGAACAAAGAACCTTTGTTCTAGTGTATTTTTGCGTGCATGACATCTTGTGGCCAAATGAGGAAATGCAGTTACATTCATCCACAGTGATGTGATTTGATTTTGTCTCCACCAGAGGAAACCAGATCATTTGCAGCTACGGAGAAGAGTTTCACTGTAAAGATGTTCACCTTCCAGTTCTTCACCTACTTCTCCTCACTCTTCTATGTGGCCTTTTTTCTTGGCAGGTAAGGAGTTGAACTTTGAAGTACACAAAAAATGAATGTAACCAGCCTTGTTTCCTAGAGAGGCTAGAGATAAACCTTTGACCAACTCCAAATGACCAGATTTTTTTTCTTTGAATTTTGATATTTCTATATATTTTTCACTTCATACAACAACATACAATAAACATTAGAATTCGTTTTGTGACTAATCTATTAGGATCAATGGTCATCCTGGAGGATACGTACGGATTGCAGGGAAATGGAGGCTGGAGGAAGTAAGTGAATGAAAATTCCTATCACTGAACTAACAGTTTTGTGAGTTAACATCATGTCTTTCCACTCTTTGTAATATATATATATGTTTTTTTGTGCAGTGTCATCCTAGTGGATGTCTCACAGACTTGTTCATCCAAATGGCAATTATTATGGTACTGAAGCAAACCATTAGCAATGTCTTTGAGTTCACCGGACCGTAAGTAAAAAAGAGGTTTGATGAAGCGCTACAGTTGTATAGAGTCTGATGTGTGAAACGTCTGAGTTATTAATGTAACGTTTCACATTTTTTCCCTGTACCAGTTGGTTCTGCCGGTGGTTGAAAAGGAGAAGAACCAAGAAGTTGCAGAGAAAATGTGCCCACTGTTACCTGAAGAATGAATCTGAGGACAAACACGGAGCTGAGATGTGTGATAACTGCAAGCTTCGAGACTGGCTCAGCAACTACCGCCTTAATGATGTCGACTCCTTCAGTTTGTTCCACGAGTTCCTGGAAATGGGTAGGTATCCTTGATTTACTGCTTAAACAACAACAACAATAATTGATATAAAACACGTAAATGATTCACATGATTTTCTTTTCTCTCAGTGATCCAGTTCAGCTTTACCACCATATTTGTGGCCGCGTTTCCTCTTGCTCCACTTCTAGCCCTTATCAATAATGTTATTGAGATTCGATTGGATGCCATCAAGATGGTCACTCTGGAGCGAAGGCTGGTCCCCAAGAAAACTAATGACATTGGTGAGAATTAGTGAAGAAAGATATTAATAATGTAATGTCTATTACATTTCTTATGGTAAAATGTACCAAAAAAATGTAATAGACATTTTACTTTGTCAAAGAAAAAACATCACATCAATAAATAAGATAAGATTGAATTGAAGTCAAGTCTGAAATATGTAAACCTTTTGCAAATTACACCTAGATTCAGTAGTTACCAAAGTGGGGGGCGTGCCCCCTCAGAGGTCACACCGCTACTGAATTTGTGAATGAATTTCAAATTGAATATTTAGTGCCACAGTGCGAAAAAGATGCCCTCATTTGTAATTTTAAGTATTTTAATGATTAGGTTTCTTTATTTCATCTGCACTATTATGTATATTTTCATACTAATTTTCTCTCAGGTGTGTGGATTGACGTGCTGGAGGCTATCGGTGTCTTAGCTGTCATTGCAAATGGACTGGTCATCGGCGTGTCCTCGGACTTTATCCCTCGACTGGTGTACCGTTACCGCTATGGCCCATGTGCTAATGGCACAGCAACTGATATTGAGTATGAGCGCATGCTAAAGGAACACAAAGGTGCTGGATCTAATGTTGTATTGAAGGCTTGCTGAAAAAATAAACATGCTTGTTGTTTTCTCCCAGCTGTATGGTTGGTT